AACAAACATATGAAACATATGTATGAACTGCGGTTATAAAACGTTTCATAACCGCAGTTCATACATATGTTTCATATGTTTGTTGTTGTTTGATTTATCATCTACGGGTTTATGTCGAATTAATTTGATGGCCTGCTCCCAGTTGGCTTGTTAGCTCAATTGGTAGAGCGCTGCACTAGTATCGCAGAGGTCAGTGGTTCGAATCCCGTACAGGCCTTAAATTTTTTTTTTAGGTCTGATTTTCACTATTGCTCAAATAGTGCTTTACTGCGAAGGATCGTGCACATATACGTTTCATAACCGCAGTTCATACTTATGTTTCATATGTTTGTTGTTGATTAAGTTAATACCAGTGATTATCGAATATCATAACTGTAGTACTTCGCTCACATCCGTATGTCACAATTCTCTCCTATTTACTTTCCAGTTTGCTCTGCCTGTATTTGATTATTATGTCTTGTTTTAACTCACTAGTTATTTTATTGAATTAATCTGTATGACAACTGTACGTATCTTTTAGCTTATAATAAGTAAACTAATGCATAGCTTGTAACTCTACTAATATTGTATTAATGCGCCGCCGTCCAGTTAGCCCAATCGATAATGCGCTGGACAGATTTACGGGAAGTCGTAGGTTCGAGCCCCGGCCGGACCAACACTTAAGAGAAGCTGCCAGAATATTTCGAGAATCGCAAATCTGCGACGAAAAATCGAATATTTTTTCATTTTTGTGAACTAGTTTCGGAAAAGAAATATTTTAAAGTTCCAGAGATTCTTTTACCGGTTGAAAATTTAAAAAGTTTGAAATTTTGTTAAAAAAGCAGTTTTCGCCATGCCTAAACGGTCAAATCGTCACGCAACTTTAGGAAGATGTTGGCAGCGCGAAGAATGTCTATTCACCATCAAACTTTGCACAATAATTACAATATCACTGCAAAATGAAAGAATATAAAAAATTTCTGTAGCTCTTCTTGGTATGACTTTTTTCGCCGTTTTTATAGAGGTGTATTTTGCACGATGTTTTGGGAGACAAAATGAAGACTAACTTTGACCGGTTTGAACGACACCTAGTACCTTAAATTTCGACATTAAAACCATACCAGAAGCAAGCTCATTCATCAAAATTTACATCTGGAAGGTTTGGCCTTTGGAAATTCAGTTTTGTCTCCTCATTTAAATAAAACGTGATACCATCCAGGCGCCATGTGAGTGTGCAGAATTCGATGTTTATTTCAAGCTAATTATAGAGTCACTTTTTCGAAAATACAAAGAAAAAAAATAAATGATCATTGAAAGTAGTCAGCATCATTATATTTCTTCTGTGAAGCTGCGAATGTTAAGTAAAGTCGCTTTTAATCTTTCTTGATCACGCTTTAAGTGCCAGCATGTCTCTTAACGAGACTGAAGCGGTTTACAAACTTAAAAACATTCCGAAACATTTGTAGACAAAAACATCGCTTCCTACACAGGGTCAAGGTTTCCCTCGTATAGAGAATATATATATATATGTATGTATGTATATATNAAAAGTATCTGAGGATTCTGTGCTAAGCCTGAGGCATCTCAGAGAAAGCACTGCTAATTTGGCAAAACAGTCACCAACACATCAGATAGCTTGACGCAGGGTTATAAAGATGAATGGGGTCAGACTTTACTTAATAATCATCGGTTTCTAAATCACGATCATGACGCTTTTATCTTTAGGAAGATGTTCTGGAGTGATCAGGGATTGCATCCAAAGATTGCAAAGATTGAGCAAGCGAACATGGATGGCTCTGCCAGGGCAGTTCTTGTGAATTCTGGACTCGTGGGGGTCAACTCACTAGCTATAGATTACTCTGGAAAACTATTGTACTGGTGTGATGCAAGTCTCGATAGGATCGAAAGGATAGACTTTCAAGGAAACAACCGAATCGTTATACTAGACTTGTCGTCCGGTACTTGGCACCCATTCGGACTGGCTCTATCCGATGACGTTCTTTACTGGTCAGACCTGGAAAAGAAGAATATTAACAAATACAACATGACTTCCTCTCTCAGTGAGGTTCTGGTCCATGGAATGGGGTCACCAAAGGAGCTACATGTTCATGATGACGGAAAAATATTTTCTGGTATGTAAGAAAGAAAGAAAGGTTCAAACAAACAAGCCTGATCCCATTTAGATGCTCCTTTACTATTCGTTCGGATTCTTTTCTCAAAATTCTCATTTCGAGAGAAAGGGACAAGCATCGAAGAAATTGTCAATCACGTGATCTGCTTACGTGCATAACCCAATATGCATCTTGTCGTTGACGATCAAATGCAATTGTAATTTTCAGTTGTGTCCAAAGTTATCCCTAATTACTTTGGCTTTCCTTTACTTCGCCTTGTGATTGGTGAATAAAACCCGCACCACGCTCTAAGCCAATCGGAAGCAAGAATATAATCGTGACCTCGTCAATCACGTTTTCTCGCGCTTCAAACAGTCTACCCTCACTAGCTAATTATGATCACAAATTTTCTTCTGATTGGCCATTGATTATTGATTTTGGTTTGTTTTTGGGCAATTAGTCGAAAAGTGCGATAAATTTTTCCACAATTGGCAGTCGCGGCTCACGTTTTGGTAATCAAATCCACTGTGTATTCAGATATCAGACATCACTTCATTAGTTAACTCCCCTTCCCTTAACGTGTAGGATCTACCGGCTGTTCTCATTTAAATGGGGGCTGCAGTCATCTTTGTCTTCCAAATCCAAGTGGACATCAGTGCTTTTGTCCTGAAGGAATATCTGCTTAAGCCTGGGGATCCCTTGACTTGTCAAGGAGGTAAGAAAAATTTGATTAATGTTTATTTTAGGTTTTCTCTCGATCCTTTATCATAAAATATGTTAATCAGATGTTACCGTGTTCCTTTGTTCACGGAGCAAAACCAGGAAAATATTTACAACATACGCGGAAACAGTATAAACGGACATGAGTTAAAGAGGACTTAGGTTAAAAAATTGACTGAAACGATGTTGTGGATGGTAGCTCTAAATCAAAAACTAAGTGTTTGTTGTTTTAGTTCTGTTTCAGTCACCCGTTGTGCCATTTTGTCTGTGCCCTCGAACGGAAGCTCAAGACCCTGTTCTAATCTGCCCGGAAATACTTGTTAGTTTTCCTGTGACGAAGGGTACATCTTTAGGATCAGCAACGCGCACCTGTAGAAACGATGGCACGTGGACTGGCACACAGACTCAGTGTAATGGTAAGCTAGTGATAATGAGTGGATTTTGAATACATGAATAACTCAGGACATTCAATGGCTTCTCAAAAGCCATGAAAAAGATGCTGAGAACGTTTAATTTATTTTGTTTCTTTCTTTGTTCGTATTTAAGCGAACATAATCAACTAAAGGCTTATTGACACAAATTTAATACAGACAGATAAATCGACTCACATGAAAGAGAGGCTGCGAGGCAGGCACACAGCCAAACAGACAGGCGCACGAAATTGTGTAGGGAGAGATGATTATATAGTGGGAAGGGTATCTACAGCTAGAAGATGAAGATACAAGCGAATTACATTGA